GTGTGTGTGCGTGCGTCGCTGTGTGTGTGTGTGTGTGCGTGTGTGCGTGCGTCGCTGTGTGTGTGTGTGTGTGCGCGCCGTTGGAGAGCTTTATCTCTGCACATGCTCAGTCTGCACCGCGGCTCTCTGACTCGCTCCAGCCTCATTCAGTCTTTATATCAGGACTAACGACGTTTCTGCTCACTGTTAGAAACTTTATTAACTCTTAAAATAAATCATGTTTAGTGAAATTTGCTGATTGTCTGTACTGTAAAACAACTGAAGTGCTTTTACTGCAGGCTGGATCTGATGTGCTGCAGCGACATCTGCTGGTCAAACTCCTGCACTGTTAAACCATTTATGACTAAATAACTTTTGGTCATTTCTTAGTATTTTTAAAATAAATGTTCATCTTATTTTTGTAATAACTATGCCTTCAACTGATGGAAAAATCACTTTTTTTTTGTTTCAAATTGTCTTTAAAAATTTATAAGCCCCCAAATTAGCTCCATAATATCTTTTTAATCTTTATTAAGCTATTTTTTAGTCGTTTCTAAGAAACTTTATGACCTTTGAGCACCGCTGTATGAAATGCTCTGGTAGTTGGTTGGAATCCAGAAATTGACAAACTGCTTCTCTGTTTCCTCTGTTTCAGAAGGAGCTGAGTCTTCCCAGAAGAGGCAGCTTGTAAGTACCTGAAACCTTTCGTCCAATCAGAGCTGAGCTCTCACCTGGAGAGAAGCAACGAGCCAATCAGACTTCGGCTTTAGGTGTCACTGGTTAATCTTTGCTGCTTGTTCAGGTCGCCTCCTGCTGGAGGTTCAGGTGAAGCGCAGGAACAGCTGCAGCTCCTTCTGCAGGTCTATTTATATCAGGTGTGTGCGTGTGTGTGCGCGCTTGTGTGTGCGTGTGTGTGTGTGTTGCTGGTAAGGTTCTGTGTGTTTTGGACCTGCAGGATCCAGATGGTTTCCAGGAACGTTCCTGGCTCTGTCTGAAGTGATTTCCATCATGAAAAGGATTTAATTTATTTTAGGATTTTTATAATCTGGAAACAAAACCAGACTTCCTTTGCTCTGTACTTCATTCATTCACCGTTTCCTCTCTTGCTTCCTTCCTTCACTCCTTACTTCCTCATGTTTTCTCCTTCTTTCCTTCCTGCTGTCCTTCCTTACTTTCAGCTTCCTGGTTCTTCCAGATTTCATATTAAAAGCCTGTATGGGGCTAAATCAGGGCAGAAAGTCTGCTTTAACCCAAAAGTCCTGTTGGTCAATCTGAACTTCCTGTTTGTTTCAGGGTTTCTCCCTGTTAGAGCTGCTGATGTTTTCAGCAGCAAGAGGGGCCCCTCAGTCAGATTCTGCCCCAGGCCTCATCAGCCTTGGACCGGCCCTGCAGGATGAGTTAAATCTGCAGCACTGAGCAGAGATGAGCAACAAACAGGAGATTTAATTCAATGCTGCTAATGTGGCTTTAGCAGCTCTGACATTTAGTTTCTGTTGAGTTTTTAATAAGAATCACAGAAACTGTTTTGGTTGCTGGAGTTTATGGGACGAGTTTTTCTGATCTTCATGCGTCTTACGTCTGACTGACTAAGTAGACAAAGCATTTGATACAGTTTGATGCTTTGTGTAACGGGGAAAATAATAATAAAATAACATAAAACCAGCGTTAAGCGTGACTACGAGGCTAAAGCTCCTCACCGAGCTGAACCTGCATGATGAGGTTAGCACTGGTTCGTTAGCCGCTAACGCTCCGACCAACCAGGACACAGACATGAACTTTACTGGGCAGACAGCGCCACACGCTGGGCAGCATGTTGAGATGGAAACGCTGCATAATTCTTTGTTCACAAATATAAATCAGTGAAGCATGGCGGGCTGCCAGGCTTACAATACACTGGGAGAAACCCTGTTGTTTTGATACTTTTGGTACCATTTTATCTCCACTTTTATATTTCAAGCATATTCAAACTATAATTTTACTGCAGCGTAAATGAAGCATCTTTTTATATAAATCCAATGCAGTCCAATAGAATCACTTAAGGACTCCAGAACCATCCAAAACTTAATTTCACTAACTTAATTAAAAAAAAAATATTAAATTTCATTTTGATTTCTAAAAATGAGAATTTGTAGCCAACAACTAATATTAATTATCTTTTAAATAGATAAAGTAAATTATGCCAAAAATATCAAACCATGAAAAACAAACTGGCTATAATTTTTTTTAATACAAGTTATTTTTATTAAAAAGAAAATAAACACAAAAATATTAACATATTTGTCCCAATAATTTCCACCAGCTCTGTTGTCTGTTTTACAGTGTAATAAAACTTTCACAGTAAATTCCAGTTAAATAACGATAAATGTAAATGTTTTTAAAGACTTTCTTCAGATTGTTAAAGCCAGATGGTTTCAGAGGAAACCTGTTGGACCCGACCCGACCCGACCCGGCCCCCCTCCTCTCTCTGTCCTCTGGTCGCTGCAGACAGCAGAGCGTTAGCCGCTAGCAGAGGGATTAACCTGACAGCTGCAGCAGGGTCGGCGCTCCGGTTCTAGGAACATGAAGGGAACCGGGTCGGCGCTTCTCCTCTCAGTCCGGACGTCTCCTCCATGAAGGTTTTGGGTCGGGTTTCGCCTTCAGGGGAGGAACCGCTCTCGGATTTATCCTGACGTTTGGAACAGGATGTGGATTATTCTGGAACAAACGGGGAAATCCGAAATGGGATTCATGGAGCAAACTGGCTGCTGAGAATAATCTGCTGTGGATACAGGTTCTGGATTAGGATTCAGAAACCCAAAGGAACGTTTCACCCCGAGAAGTGTGTGTAAGTGTGTGTGTGTGTGTGTGTGTGTGTGACATAACTCTGAGGTCATCCCTTTAAACGGAGATCAGGACGGACAGATGAGCGGCTCCACACTGCTGGATTATCACAGATTACAGCTCAGCCTTTTGTCCCAGAACACGAGATGAAGAGGAGGACGGAGCGCTGCGGAGCGCCTCACCTCCGCCTGCAGTAAGACAACCAGAACCAGAACCACAGACACCAGAACCAGAACCACAGACACCAGAACCACAGACACCAGAACCAGAAGTTGGATAACTTGAGTTTAGTGGGAAGTAGAACCAGAGTTTAGGTTCTCTAAATGCTGATTCTGGTCCTGGTCCTGCGTCCTGGTCCTGGTTCTGATTCTGATTCCGGTCCTGATTCTGATTCTGGTCCTGGTCCTGATTCTGGTCCTGGTTCTGGTTCTGGTCCTGGTCCTGGTTCTGGTCCTGGTCCTGGTTCTGGTCCTGGTCCTGATTCTGGTCCTGGTCCTGATTCTGGTCCTGGTCCTGATTCTGGTCCTGCTCCTGG